TTTATTTGTTTGTTTTTATTTGTTGTTTGTTTTTTTGTTATTTTGTTTATTTTGTTTATTTATTTGTTTGGTTTTCTCTTTCTTTGTTTGCTTTTGTTTGTCTTTCTTTGTTTATTCCTTTTATTTATTTATTTATTTATTTATTTATTTATTTCTTTATGTATTTGTTTATTTATTTATTTATTTGTTTGTTTATTTATTTGTTTGTTTGTTTTGTTTGTTTTTTTGTTGTTGTTTTGTTGATTTGTTTTGTTTATTTGTTTCTGCTTGTTTCCTTCTCACCTTTTTTATACATTTATTATTTTATTTATATATTTATATATTTCTCATTTCTTATTTATTTATTTTTGTTTATTTGTTTATTTATTTATTTTTAGGTTTGTGTTTGGGGTCTGGTGCTTGCCCTCGGGGTCTCCTTCTCTTACGCGACTTCCTCTTGGGCGCTGCTCCGTACAATAAACCCTAAACCCTAAACCCTAAACCCTCATTATAAACCCTAAACCCTAAAGCCTATATTCTACGCTCATCAGAGGGTCCTTCGGAGAGAAAGGGCGTTGAAACGCGCTGGGGGTTCATATTTTAGGGTTTAGGGTTTAGGGTTTAGGGTTTAGGGTTTTGTTTGTGCAGGAGCGAGAAGCTGCGTATATTGTCTTCTCGTATAGTAAAGTTGGTGGTGTGTGGCGATTGTTTGTCTTTACCTGTTGCTGCTTCTGCTGCTTCATCAGCAGCAGCAGGAGGAGCAGCAGCAGCAGGAGGAGGAGCAGGAGGAGCAGCAGCAGCAGCAGCAGCAGCAGGGCGATTAGAGCAGCAGCTGTCTCTTTCTGCAGCATTAAACGAAGCAGACTCTTTTCTCTCACAGATTGCTTCATCTGTCTCTGTCTCCTTCATGCCTGGGCCCAGAGACCCTTCAAACTTTACTCTGCCTCAGCTGTCTGTACACTCTGCTATGCTGCCGCTTACACGAGAATATAAATCTGCGACGGGTTTATCAAACCCTTCTGCTTTTTCTATCAATGGGGTATGCAGCAGATATACTGTTTATTTATTTATTTTTATTTATTTTTATTTATTTTTTTTGTTTTTATTTATTTTATCTATCTTATTTATTTTTATTTATTTTATCTATTTTTATTTATTTTGTTTATTTTTATTTATTTTTATATTTGTTTGTTTGTTTTATCTTTTTAACATCTTTAGGTGTTTCGTGCTTTTTGTTTCTTCTGACTTATTTATTTATTTATTTATTTTATTTTATTTATTTATTTTGTTTTATTTATTTATTTATTTGTTTTTCTTTTTATATATTCATCTCCTTTTGTTTTTATTTTTTTTGATTATTATTTTATTTTTAATTTGTTTTTGTTTTTATTTATTTGTTATTTGTTTCTCCCGTTCTTTATTTTATTTATTTTCTTTTTATTTTATTTTCATTCATTTATTTTATTTATTTTTTATTTTGATTTTGTTTTATTTTTATTTTTAGATCCGGTTTATCGGCAGCAGCGGTCAGCCAATCGCTGACATCTGCGCAAACAGCAGTCTCTCCCCTATCGGTGAGGGTTTAGGGTTTAGGGTTTCGTTAGGGTTTAGGGTTTAGGGTTCAAGGCTTCGCTCAAGCTTAGGGTTTAGCGCTTAGGGCTCCGTTAGGGTTTAGGGTTAGCGGGGATGGCAGGCAGGGTTTGGGGTTTAGGGTTTAGGGTTTATAAGTCTTTAAATCGAGCGGCTATGAGCGTAGCTGCAGGGTTTAGAGTAAGGGGGTTAGGGTTTAGGGTTTGCTGCAGAGGCCCTGGAGCTCTCAGCGCATTGCCGCTGCATCGCCCCGACTGCCCCTGACACACTCGCGTAAGCGTTGCTGCTGCTGCTGCTGTTGTTGTTGCTGCTGCTGCTGCTGCAGTTGTTGGTTCAGCTGTTGCTGCTGCATTGGTTGTTGTTGCATGTGTTGCTTGTGCATTTGCTGCTGCTGGTGCTGCAGCAGCAGCAGCAGGATAATATTATTTTTTTTTAATTTTGTTTTGTGTTTACTTCAGATGCTATCCCTTTACATCAGGAGACCCCTTTACTGTTTCAGGAGACAGCAGCTACCACGTCTACTTCGCGGGGCTGCAGCAGCAGCACGAACACAGACAGCTGCGCACTGCACCAGCAGCAGCAGCAGCAGCAGCAGCAGGTACAGGTACAGGTACAGGTACAGCAGCGCCAGCAGCAGCAGCAGCAGCAGGGCCTGCTGCTGCTGCTGTTGCAGTATGTGTGCCAGACTTTAAAGAGAGAGGAGAGTTGGTGCTGCTGTCTTTGCGCACGCTGCACTCTGCATGCCTTCGGTTGTTTGCTGCTTGAGAACATAACAAATAATAATATATGCTTTATATGCCTTTTATATATTTAATAACAAAAAAAGTAATCTATTAGTATTATTTTTATTTAAACAAAGACAAATACACTTCTGCGTTCGTTCACCTCTCTGCTGCAGCTACTCGCATTTTTTGCTTTCTCCTTCTCTCTCTACTAAAACTATATGTCTATATATTCATCTATACATATATATATATATATATATATAGCTGTATATATACATATGCACATATAGCTATATCTAGACATGTGTATGTATGTATATATCTATAAGCCTATATATATACATACATATATATATATATATATATATGTATATATAAACTGTGTGTGGGTATTGTATGCGGCTGACAACCAACACTTGCAGCAGGAGCTGCAACAGCAGCAACAGCAGCAGAAGCAACGGCAGCAGCTGCAACACCAGCAACAGCAGCAGCAGCAACAGCAGCAGCAGCAACAGCAGCAAGAAGAGGATGCGAATTAAAGTGAAGAAATAAAAAAACAAAAAGCTGTCTGTGTTTTTATGTAAAAGGTTTTATGTGCCTCCTCTCTCGCCGTTTGTTTCGCCGTTCTTAACACCGCTGCTGCTGCTGCTGCTGCTGCTGCTGCTGCTACTGCTGCTGCTGCTGCTGCTGCTGCTGCTGCTGTCTTTCTCTGCTTCTGATTCTGGATGGCAGCACCTGTGCAGATTATATCTAAATAGCTTCCCGAATTCCTTCACGAGAGAAACCCCGAAAAAGTACTGCACAGTCATAAACATAAACCGCGCATCAAACACAAAGCCCCAAATATATACACCGCATGCATGCACAAGGAGGTGCAAATAAACAAAAATAATAACAAATAAACAAATATAATAACAAATAAACAAATATAATAACAAATAAACAAATATAATAACGAATAAACAAACAAACATAATAAAAAACAAAGACATTAAAAAACAGACAAAGACAGCACCAAACAAACGACGAAAATAACAAACAAACAAAGATAATAATAAAAAATAAACAAGTACAAAAAAAAGTAAATTAGGAAGGAGAGACGTACAGGGTTAACCTCAACAATAAAGGTGTGCTGTGCATTATTAATATCTACGCGATAGGCAGCCCCTACAGCGCTTGTCAGCAGCTGCAGCACCTCTTCTTTTTTAATTGTTTTATAGCCTCTGCTCGAATATGCGCAAGCCCAAGACCCTCTTGTACCAATTCCTTCTCCTTCTCTCTCTTTTGCTGCACATGTCCGTACAGGCATATATATATATATATATATATATATATGCAGACATATACATATATAGATAAATACACATACAGATATATGCATACATATATATATATATATATAGACATATGCATGCATAGATAAATACAAATTCAGATATATATATATATATATATATATATACATGCTTATATATATGCATATATATATATATACACGTATATATAGTAAAAGAGTTTCTGCATTCTGGCGGTTGCAAGTGTATGTGCAGAGTCGTTTGTGAAGAAGTTTAAACCCCTTAGGCTGCCCCTGTGTCGAATATGTACCTGCTGTTGCTGCTGCTGCTGTTGTTGCTGCTGCTGCTGTTGATGTTGCTGCTGTCGTTGCTGCAGCTCCTGCAGGGTTTTCTTCTTTTGCTGATTGGGCTGGATCTGCATCTTCTGCATCGCTCTTCGGAGGCGCTGCTGCTGCTGTTGCTTTTGCTGCTGCTGCTGCTGCTTCTGTAGCTGCCGCTGCTGTATCTGTTGCTGCAGGTGCTTCTGCTGCTGTCTGTGCTTCTGCTGCTGTTTGTTGTTCGTGTTGGTCGTCCTTTGTTGGTGTTGTTGCTGCTGCTGTTGCAGCAGCAGCAGGAGCATCCGCTTCCGAAGTAGCTTCTGCAACTACTGCAGCAGCAGCAGCAGCAGCAGCAGTAGCAGCTTCCGAAGCATGAGAGGGAGGTTGTGCTGCTGCTTGTGCATGCGGGTTATTAGTGTTCTTCCTGTTGATAGCTGCCGAGGAGAAAGACAAAGAAGTGCAGCAAATGTCAGCGCATGCAGCAGCCAAAGCATCCGCAGAAGGCGCAGCGCACACATCCACTGGCAGCAGACGAGACGCGTGCCTATCAAACAAAACAAACAGCATATATATATATATATGAATATAAATAAATATATATATATATATAGGTATATAGGAATATATAAATATGTATATATATATGAATATAAGTATATATATATATGAATATATATATATTTTAATTACGTACATATACATGTATGTGGATACATATGAATTATAACTATATGTCAATATATATATATATATATATATACATACATATATGCATATATATATACATATATATTATATGCATAAATATGTATTTAGTTATATTGTTTGATGCAAAGAATTACCTCAACCAGCAGCCCTCGCTGCAAATAGAAATAGCCGCATAAGGAGCATTAAAACTAACATCTAACTATATATAATATCCTTAATCAGGTATACATATGCGTATATATATATATATATATACGCTTATATGTATAAAAAGTATATATATATAATAAATAATTAAAAATATATAAATATATATACATACATATATATATATATATTTATAGGCAAAATGAGTATAAAAATATAAATATAAATATAAACATAAATATGAACATAAATATAAATATAAATATAAATATAAATATAAATATAAATATAAATATAAATATAAATA